TCATGGAATTTAAAGTCTTATTCAGCTGCTCCACCAACCCATCACTCTCAGTAAGTATCTCTTTGGGGATACCAACTCTGGGCATGAAATGAAAGCCTATGCCACACTTTTTGCAGAAATCCTGCACAGTGGCACTGCTGTGGGATATTGTGGTGCATAATTGACCAGAACTAATACAAAGCGATATCCATGTGCCCTCTGTGTAATAGCTGGATGAGGTTCATGCATATGCACTCAAACTTTACATCTATTAATGGTAAAAGGGGCAAAGATGCTTTTGGAATTGCCGGGCTTTCTTTGATTGGTCACGGTAAAACCTGCTCCAATACTTTGATTTTCTGTTTCAGAGTATCTTCTTGCCACACCGCACCCCAGATACTTTTGTTTCTCAACTTACTCTCCTGTAATCTCACTTCAGGTTTTAACAAGCACACAGTTTGTTTGCACTTTGGAAGGAAAACTCATCCTTTAAGCATCTTAAACACACCCCCAGCGAACTTCATACTCACAGCAAGTGTTTGAGAAAATGTAACATTTTATGACCTTTTTGTCCTGGAAGATCGATCCAGAGTTTTTAATGAGCTGCCTGGTCAGTGTGAGTGGAAAACAGCTAAGTCTCCTCCTCTGATAAACCTCCATCTGTGATACTGAGAACAGTTAAATTAGTTTGAATCTGAAATCATGGCTCAAACTACTTGTTGTGAGACCATTTCTTTATTTTTCACACCCTACAAACTTTGCACAGTTCATCAGATATAACTAATGATTTAACAGTATCAGGATTTCATAATCCAAACTTCAAATCAACAAGAAAACAGCTACAGAACATGTGGATCAAAATGAATTCATTAAAAAACAACACGTAGACTTCAAGGATATTGTAAATACACTAAAGTGAAAGGAGCAGCCAAAAGTAGAGGTTTGATAGAATTTGAATGAACTAAAAGGAGTCATCTGCTATCTTTAAAACGACCCTGATGTGTGCTGCTTTTAACATTTCTTTGCTGCCATTGTGAATAAGAACGTGCTCTTGGAGCACTGCTCCACCTTCTGGTACAACCTGGTATTACATGGAAGTACAGCCCAACACCAGTTTAGCTTGAGATTCTTTTTTCTGGACATAAAGTCACAGCAGTTGTTGTTTCAAAGACAGCTGACGGATTTAATTCATATTGGAAGCTTTAAGGGCAACTGGTGTGAAATTATTTGGAGTTCTGGGAGGAAGGAATCTAAGAACAAGGATTACCACAGTAGAATATTAAATATGAAAAAGGATTAAAGTGTAACTGAGGTAACACATAAAATGAATACATGAAAAACAAGTACAGTTTAAAAACTGAGAAACGTCAAATGAAAGACATTGATGTGTGTGTATGTGTATATATATATATTAGGGGTGCAACGATACACAAAATTCACGGTTCGATATTTTTTCGATACAAAAAATGTTCATGCATTTTTAATTTGTCATTTATTAAAATTATAAATATATATTTTAACTCAAAAGTACAGTTTTTAAATTTAACCCTAACCCTTGTGCGTGTTTTTTATTTTGACAGTGAATGCGCACCTGCGGACCACTTATGTGCAGCCCTGGTTATTTAGCTCGTCATATTGCAGCCACAGAAATTATTTTGTCCATGAAACCATAAAGCTGCACTTTCTTTTTGCCTTATAGTCTGATTTGTCATAACTTCTCCGTTTTGTGGTAAGCTTTTCTTTGGCTGTCACTTCTTCACCCTGACCTGTCTTATTTGGCTCAGCAGAACTGAAATGCTTTTACACACTCACTCACATAAGCTCAGCGATTCTCTGCGCGATCAACCTCTCACATGTTTAAGCTGCGGGAGATTTCACTTGTCATGTTTGCATAGTAAGCTAACGATTAATAAGACGATGTCAGAGGAATTGGTGCACAAATTATCATCACTCACAGATCAGTGCTGTCGCTCTCTATACACAGTTCGCACGATTGCAAAGTGAAAGCAAAAAAACAAGCGCAAATTCAAACGCGATTTCAATATGTCACATATTGACAGTGGCTCACCGATGCCAATGACATAATTACCCAGCTACATTTCTGAAAGAATGCAAAAGCATTGACATATATTTTTCCTTCCTACAATAGCCCGACGGGCAGGGCAGAGATAGATTTTGGTAGCCCGACTGAAAAAATCGCTAGCTCCGGGACGTCGGGCTAGCGATATTGCAAGCCCTGTATCTGATTGAGGAATCACTCATCTTTGGAAAAGAGAGTTTATTACAGAGAAATGTCTCTTTCCAAAATAAAAGCTATACTATCCGCTTCTTCTGGGCTATATTCTCAGCAGCATATTAAACATATCAGGTCTCCATAAGGAGAATCATGTGCTAACAGCTGTCTAAATGACTCGGCTAAAGTTTGTAGCATGCATGCTTGTTGTTTTTGTCTTTGCACTAGGATGATGTCGGTGTAAATGTGCAGTCATATTCGTTGTGTTCCCACTAGTGCTTTCAGGTTAATCTCGTTGAAATAACCTTAACACCACAACACGGCAAATCTCCGTTAACGAGCTACCCTATACAGAGGGGCTAGACGGCCAACACGTTAACGAGCTAACTGCGCTAACACACTAGCTCCCACCCATGTAATTGAGCATTGCATGGCACATCCAACATACTGTTTTACTTTAGTCCATGACTCGCTTACCTTCAGGGTCATACGTCACATGAAAACCAAAATAATTCCAAACGCCAGATCTGAATGAGGGTGGGGAGGTCCACTTCTGTCTCGCTAGCTTGCCCTGCGCTCTTCCTTCTGACTATGCTGTCTGTGTTGAGCGCTCAGTGGATCTGCACTGGACAGTGCAGCCTAGGCGGAGTAGTCGAACGCAGATTCACTGAGCTCTCAACACAGACAGCATCGTCAGAAGTAAAGTTGATAAAATAAATTACAAATGTTGTATTGTTCGATACATATGCGTACCGAACCGAAAGCACTGTATCGAACGGTTCAATATCGATACGAATATCGTTGCACCCCTAATATTAATTAATTAATATATATATATATATATATATATATATATATATACACACACACACACACACACATCTCGACAGTTTTGATACAATATTAGTTTGGTAAAAACACATTCCTATAACTTTTATAATACAGTAAAAAGTACAACTACTAATGTTCTAAGGGAACAAAGATTAAAACGGGTCTCAAACTCAGGGCCCGCATATCGACGTGAAGAATTTTTTTTTTAAATTATTATTTAAAAAAAAAAAGTAATATGAAGACAATATGAGCAGAGTGTTACAGGCACAGACCTTTAACAATGTAGCCTCGTGGGTCGTACAGTCCGTGTTGCAGGGAGAATGTGTGGGGCTGCCCCTCCTGTTGTGTGTGAGCGTGAGAGAGGGGAAAATGACCATGAGAGTCAATGGTTGGTACAGGTGAGAAACGAAGGAAGATGAAAGAGTGTAAAGTGTAAACCACGACAGCCAAAAAGAGTGCCTGACAAGCACATGTTAACAGTCATCTGTACACTGTGTTTGCCCCCTCCAAAACAGTAAAGTTCAGATGATGTTTGCACAGAGCAGATAATGAAGTGAATGTTTTTGCACATTTATTTACAGCTTGGGATCATTTGTGTGTGGAGTCTGAAGTTCTTGTCACACTGGTCACAGCTGAAGTTCAATGTGTGTACGTTCATGAACGTTACGATTACCTGAACACGAGAAGCTTATGTCACAGTGTCTGCACTTGTATGGTGTCTCCTGTGTGGACGCGTTTATGCACTTTAATGTTATCTGCACTGCAGTAATGAAGGTTGACCCACACTGGTCACACACGTGCTTTTTGACCCCACTATGACAGAGTTCATGTTTTTTAATGCACTTGATGTGGGGAAGCCTCTCTCACATTCTTTGCAGTAGCTCATTTTGTCTCCAGTGTGTCTACGTTGATGTCTTATTAGTCTCTCTTGATCACTGAGGGTTTTTCCACAAAGGTCACAGTGAAACGCTTTCCCATCACCACAGTGACGGCAGGGTTGAGAACTGGATCCATCTGTGTCGCTCTGCTTCAAAACAAAGACACAAAGACAGTGTAAGTCAGTCCTTCAACATTTTGATCCTGAACGTCGCCTAATCAGACTTGTTACACTCAGGCTAAAATTCAGGAATAAAATATAAATACATACCTCACAGTAACTGCACTTGTAGAGTTATTTTCTGGTGTGGACGTGTTGGTGTTTTTCCAGGTGACGTGGAGACTTAAAAGTCTTATCACACAGGTCACATTTATAAGGTCTTTCTTCAGTGTGGGTAAACATGTGGCGCTGTAACTGTGTGGCTGTTGTAAAGTGTTTCCCACACTGATCACAGCAGTAAACATCATTTCCAGTGTGAATCCGTAGGTGAATATTTCGGCTGCCTGGCTGGCTGAAATTTTTTCCACAAATGTCACAGCTGTACGCCTTAATTCCAGAGTGGGTGAGTTGGTGTCTTTTTAAGCTTATAGCCAGGGTAAAAGACTTTCCACACAAGTCACAGCAGTATGCTTTAAATTCCCTGTGGATGAGTTGATGTGTTTTTAAGCTTTCAGCCAGGCTAAAAGACTTTCCACACAAGTCACAGCTGTGTGCTTTAACTCCACTGTGGATGAGTTGGTGTCTTTTTAAGTTTGCAGCTAGGTTAAAAGATTTTCCACACAACTCACAGCTGTGTGCTTTAACTCCACTGTGGGTAAGTTGATGTGTTTTTAAGTTTCCAGCTAGGTTAAAAGATTTTCCACACAAGTCACAGCTGTGTGCTTTAACTCCACTGTGGATGACTTGGTGTGTTTTTAAATTTTCAGGCAGGGCAAAAGATGTTCCACACAAGTCACAGCTGTGTGCTTTTACTCCACTGTGGATGAGTTTGTGTCTTTTTAAGCTGTCGGCCCGGATAAAACCCTTCCCACACTCATCACAGCTGTAGTTTTTCCGTCCAGTTCTTCGGTGAGGTTTGTCGGCCTCCTGAGAGCGCTGACTTCTCGCTCCGTGTTGGTCCTGCAGTGACAGAGATACAAACAGAGGCAGTGAGTGAAATGCAGTCGTGGAACAAACTGAAACTCCATTAGTGGAATCAAAGATGTCAACAAACACGTCGTAGGTGTGTTGCCACCACCTTCTGGTAACACTATCACATTACAATGATGTGCTACAATGAGAGTTGGAATTAAAATGACATTATTGAAGAAATATTGATCAGGGGAAAAAAATCTTTTACTTGATGAAAAATTGTGAGTTCAACTGATGCTATTGTTTCAATGTGTGCTGATTAAATATGATCTTTATATTTTCTTGTAACTTCTGTGGTTTTTTTCAGCGTAATACTTAGGTCCCCTCCTCGATTCAGAGATGGTCTTTCCCTTTTCACGTAAATGGCCTCCTTGACTCAAACCAGAGTTCCTCCCTGTCCTGCCTGTAGGTTTAAATAGACTTCAGAGTCCTGACCTGACGAAGCAGCTCTTCTGTGTTGTGCCATCCTCTTAGCCAGAGGTTGTTTTACTCTGTTTGTGTCTGGGGACCCGATCCTTGGGGTGGACCAATTTTTGGAGCAGCGTGTTTTGGGGTTTAAAAGCCACCAAGATGTTTTGAAAAAATGAGTCTCTGCGGTTCCGATACTCCTGACACAAATGGGATCACATCGAGTTTTTACATAGGCAGCGGTTGTCCTTCTCACCTGGATCAGCTGGAACTTTCTTTAGGTGCCTTCCCAGTTTTGACAAATGTCCAGCTAGAATAACCACATTTACTCAGGGGCTTCTTGATGGCATATTCTTCTACTTCCTGGCCGTTGTGTCAGTAGGGATGGTGTTTGCTCTGTGTTCATGCTCCAGTGGATGATGAGAGTCAAACCTTAAATACTGATCTGTATGCGTAGGTTTAGGGTAAACATCAGCTTTTAGATGTCCCCCATTACTGATAGAAATCTCACAGGCTAAGAAGGCTAACCTGCCACTTTTCATATCCTCCCTGGTGAATTTGATGTGTCGGTGCACCGAGTTAATGTGATGCCTGAAATGTGGTACGTGCTGAGTTTGATTTTCACCCAGGTGTCATCCACATACCTGAACCAATGACTTGGTGGTGACGGATCATCTGCAACTGGAAACGCTACATCAAAATGAACAGAGTCAACTTTTGGGGATTCTGTGGTTTCTGTTTGTGACGTACATTCTGTATGTGTGGAGGAGCCCAGGATGGAAAAGATAAAGCTGCTGTTAACAACCAGCTGTGCACAGTTTCAATAACAGTGTAGCTGAGATATTTTTCTCACCTCCTGTGTTGAAGTCATTGTTTCCTCTGTAGTGGCTGAGCTGAGTCCAAATGGCTGAAACTGTTCCTCTGCTGCTCCACCAGACTCTTCTCCTCCTGTTACTCAGCTGGGACACAAAAGTATAGATATGTATTTTATCCCTGACAAGAAGAAGCAGAGCAAATAAACATTACTACACTCAGTGACAACAATACCTATGAAGCTTCAAGGTGAAACCCCAGAAGCAAAAAGAAAGTCATCAGCTGCCTACAAGAACTTGAAAAAAGCCACTGAGCTCCCTGCATACCACCACCTTTACCCGGTGGATGCTGCACCCTGTATATATGGACTTCCATAGATACACAAAGATGGAGTCCCACTCAGGCTCATTGGTAGCAGCAAAAACACATCACCATCCTAGCTCCACTTGTGGGTCCACAAACTTACACTTGATCCAGATGAAACCAGAGTGTCCTTTGATGTGGTCTCACTTTTCACTTGTACACCTCCAACCGAGGCAGTGGAGACTGTCAGGAAACAACTACAACAAGACAGCTCCTTAAAACCAGAACCAGCTTCACCCTGATCAGGTCTGCACACTGTTAGACCTCTGCCTTACCACCACATATTTTAAATACAACGAAGGTTTCTAAGGACACAAACATGGATGTGCTGTGAGCTCCCCAGTGTGTCCCATTGTAGCCAAACTTTACATGGAGGAAGTGGAAAGAAAGGCTCTTGGCTCTTTAACAGGGACAGCACCGAGCCACACAAGAAGTCCAGTCACTTTCTTTATAAGACGCCTTAACGCCCACTCACATCCTGGGCCATCTGACCTCAGGAAATCACATGATAGGGTGGGGCCAGGTTTCACAATGACCTGGCTGATTGTGACCCACACCCATTTTCACACCTTGGCTCATGTGATTAGGTAGAGGATCATCAGGGGGTCCTTTTAGGGTTTAAATCTGAGAATCTCCGCCATCTGACCTTAGAACTGAAGAAGCTTCTTGGGTGAGAGGTGAAATGTCTTCAAGCAACTTAAAGAAGTCCAGACGCTTTTCTTTCCAAGTTCCTCAGACTTTCCCAAACCTGTTTTCATCTAACGACTCTGCTTCTGTCTGAAAAACACTCAGAACGTGAACCAACCACAAACCTAAAGACCCCACTGCACCAACAATGCACACCAACAGCCTGAACAGCTCCTGCTGTGGATTCTACCAACAATGACCTGTTACCCCCCCCCACCCAAGACTTTCAACACCTTCAGCAACCCCCGTGATTATAAAACATGTCCTGGACCTCATCACTACTTCACAGTGTCTGCACCCTCCATGGGTCCTCCCTCCCTACATGAGAGATGTAAATACTCTTTAAGAGACAGAACCCCCAAAAGGCAGCTGGACCAGACTCAAAGTCTCCATCGTAAACCACAAGTGGACAAAACTTCTGTTTTCTGTAAACAACAAATAAAAATAAAATCCAACATTCAATCCACAACACGATAAAAACATTCTTCTTCTCCCAAATCACCAAGAGCTGCACATTAACCACCACAATATATTTTTATTCTCTGTGCTTTCAAATATGAACACTGTTTACTTTCATCTCTGTTTCATTAGTTTTTGTTAACATCTTCCTGTGCATCACTTTACAGCAGCCACACTCATTGAAATGAGACTTTGTAGGAGTTCACTTCCTCTCATGTGTTCATCCACAGCAGCTGGACAATAAAGTTATAGTGACCCTGATACTGCAGCAGATCGCTCTGACTTCCTGTTATCACTTCAAATAGAAATGAGGCTGTAGAGGTTTGGTGCAGGCAGAAAAACAGCTGCAGGGACAATGAAAAGACTTTTCTGCTCCAACTTCTCCCAGCATGCTGAGCTAATGATTAGTTGGTGTTCTTCTCCAAACACTCTCTCACTCTTCTCTCAACGTGTTCACAATAAACTGTGAACAGACACCGAGGAGAGCAGCAGAAGACCTCATTCAGGAGCTAAACTCAACATGAACTGAACTCACAGTAAAGTTAGCTCGGTGCTTACCTTTAGATGAGCCCACAAACCGAGAGAAACTCCGCGATGAAGCTGCAACTCTTTCCAAACACAGGAAACAGATCAGGGAGCAGAGACCCACGTGGTTCACGCTGATCTCAGCTACGATCCAGGAGACAAGGGTGGGCAGATCGATGCAGATATCGATCAGGACGTTGGTAGTGGTTTATGATCGATGCTTTAGTTTGTTTCTCTCCTCTAAGTTCACTACTTTACTCCCGCTTCATGAAAAAGCAGCTCTCTCTGCTCGACTCCTGTCCTGCACACACACTTTGCTCCGCCCCCTTCTTCCTGCTCTGTCGTGACTTGTTGGTTTCTGGTCACGTGACTTAGTTGCACAGCGTCGCTGGCTGTATCACGATTACACGCAGACAAAGTTAATCTAAAGACAAGAACTTTAATGAGCCAATATGGAACGCCAGGACTGCCAAAATGAATTAATTTAATACACCATTAAATAATGTTTAAATGTGGCAATAATTAATTACATAAATATTTACGACACATGTAGTTAATTAATTAATAATTATTGACAGTTTTAATTAATTAATTATTTAATGATTTATTTATTTAATTCATTTTGGCACTTTAGTCCCCTTTATCTCGCTCCTTGAAATAATTTTATCTGTCAGCCTCACCCATCAAACCAAGTGGGCGGGGTTAACGCTGCCATGCAGCTTCTCTAACATTTGATTGGTTGCCGTGCAAAGTAAGTCAAGACAGGTCGATCCTAGATAATCGATTGCTTGTGTAGACTTGGGGCAGCCAGGTATCCCAGAATGCATTTCAAATCACAGGCAGCAATGGTGGTGGTGTAGTTTTAAAATACCCCGTTTTTCTGTCACCAACTACACTTTTAATAGTGTTTTAGCTGCGAATGTCGCAACGTAATCTTCACATGTCTGGTCAGGTTGTCAACATAGAACATGTTTGCAAAAGTGCTCATGTTCAATCACCGGCACACAGCTTGATGTTTGCATTATATCTAATCTTCCTCTCAAACATTTAAACAGCAGCGAGTCTGCAGCTGAGAGAACACAAACTCAAATTGTCGGAACAGGTTAGATCGTGTATTCATTTGGTGATTTATTAAATGTATAAATGTTATTCTAATCTGCTGCTGAGTCTCTGATGCTGATGAAAATGCAGAAAACACACATCACGGACACCTGTTCAACCAATCACTTTCATTCACACTTTGATCTGTGACAAACTGACGGTTCATCTTTGTTACAGTGTTGCGTTAGACTGCTATATTTTTTTGTTCTTTATGGTGTAGATTTTCACGTCTCTGGAATAGTTGGCAGTAATAAGGATGATTTTCTGTAAAATCATATTGATATGACCCGTGACATATTCGTAGATGGCCGTTAGATTAGTCAGCTGGGAAACTGTGTTAACTCATAGAGCTGAAGATATCGTGGATATGCTGACGTGGCTCTGTGGTGTACAGGGCCATTTATCCTCAAGATTAATATTTACAATAAAAATATCAGCCAAACATCATGAAGTCTGTATGTGTTTCATAGTGTTGAACAACCTTTGTACAGTTAAAGCCAGCAGTTACTACATGACGGAAACACCAACGTTATCTCTTTTATGCGTTTATACACAGGTCACGCTGATTACTGAACAAAAACCCAAACATCAGATGTTAATCGAATTTATTTTCTCTCTCTCCTCCTTAAACATGTTTTTAATGTTAGTTATAATTCGTTAGATAGTTAGATATATATAACCAAGATGGCGCCGCGGATGGTCGCCCTGGTGCTTCAGTGCGTTACTTTTGTTTTGTTTTTGTGCATTTCTTCTGTGTCTGGGCACTCCTCTGGATATTCGTACACCAGAGAAAAGCTCCTTAACTACAGGACTACAACGCCTGTGGATTTATTTCCAATATCTGTCGCATCTGCAGCAGATTTACTGCTGACTCTGACCAGGAAAGCGAGACGCCGAAAGAGAGGGAAGCAAGCCGGCGGACTCGTGCGTTTGAGGAGACGCGGACTGCGAACCGCTCTTCCTGGGATCTTCCTTTCTAATGTTCGCTCACTCGGGAATAAGATTGACGAACTGGCCCTGATGAGAAGCATGAACAGAGACTTTGCCTCCTCCTGTGTCTTATGTTTTACGGAGTCGTGGCTCAGTGAGGACATCCCAGACTGCGCGCTCAAACTGGAGGGCTTCCATCTGCTGCGCGCGGACCTGCAGGCCGCTCTCTCCGGTAAGTCCAAAGGTGGAGGTCTCTGCTTCTACATCAATAGTGGCTGGTGCACAGATGTGACAGTGATTGCTCAGCACTGCTCTTCCTCTCTGGAATACCTTTTTATTCACTGCAAACCGTTTTATTCTCCGCGGGAGTTTGCTTCATTCATCCTGGCTGCTGTTTACATCCCGCCAGACGCAGATGCGCAGGCAGCTCAGTGCGCACTCGCGGAGCAGATACTGCACATGGAGCGGACATTCCCGTACTCTCTCATCATTGCTCTTGGGGACTTTAACAAAGCCAATCTGAGCCATGAGCTTCCAAAATACAAGCAGTATATTAAATGCCCGACCAGAGAGGAGAGGACATTGGACCACTGTTACAGCACGATCAGCGGGGCCTATCGCGCGGTGCCCCGCGCTTCACTCGGACTTTCTGACCACGTCATGATCCACCTGATCCCCGCGTACAGACAGAGGCTGAAGCTCTCCAAACCTGTCGTGAGGACTAAAAAACTGGAGCAACGAGGCTGTGGAGGAGCTTCGCACGTGTTTGGAGACCACAGACTGGGACACATTGAAGGCTGCTTCTAACAGCTTGGACGAGTTTACGGACACTGTCACCTCCTATATCCACTTCTGTGAGGACAGCATTGTGCCATCACGCACCAGGGTGAGTTATAACAATGACAAACCCTGGTTTACTCCTAAACTCAAAAAGCTGTGGCTGGAAAAGAGAAAGGCGTTCAGAAGCGGAGACAGGGACTGCTACAGAGAGGCCAAGTACAAGTT